ACACACACACACACACACACACACACACACACACACACACACACACATATTCGGATAACAGAATCCACAAAAATACACAAACTCAACAAGGAGCTATCACAGTAATTCATGTCACCACTTAACACTCCTCTCAGGGTCAAATTACTCTTGATAAAACTGACACAGCACTGTGATGGAAGTGTTTTTTCCTTGTGGTGTGTGTGTGTGTGTGTGTGTGTGTTAGTTTGGCAGGAGGCAGGGATCACGCTGTTGATGTTGAGGGAACATTCTCTTGAGGTCAAGAGTATGAAGAGATTTTTGAAGCTTGTTTTTCTGGGGTCACATCCATCATCCATCGTCATTGGAAGAGGAATGCGGTATTCGTTTTAAAATGTTTTCGGGTGCATGAGCATATTGTATTTGTGAGTAATTACCCTCAATATTGTTAAAGAAATTAACGTGTATTTCGGCACAGTTTTGAAGGCTGTGTTTTGGCAGATTTTATCAGCTGTTGCTAGCTAGCAAATCACGATTCATTTCAAAAATGTGTTGGACACTCTCTGTAAACTTTTTAATGTTTACAGCTGGTTGGCCTGAACAGAGCCCTGCAAAAGGGACTTACATATAGGTTTATAATGGCTACATATAGTATATGCTAATGATGATGCATGTACAATACAGAGATATAAAGCAACATTGTTATTCTATAGCACGCTTTGTCAAGTTATCCAAGGAGTTTAGCAAATATATTAAGTGTAAAAAAAGAAAGAAATGTCAATAAAAATCTGCCTAAATAATGTACACATTTAAGGATTTTAGATAGTCAAGAATGTTTGCGTTGAGATGATGGAGAAGAAAACTGGACTCAAATGAAATATCTTAAATTAAGAAACATCCCAGGAGACGATGTGAACAGTTGTCTCTGGGAAATCACTGTGGCCATGTGACATGAACATTAAGAAAAATATTTCACCCGCTGGGATATTATGAGGTTACAAAGATTCTATATGAACAGCCATGATGTAGCATGGCCTCCCAACAGCATGCTTTCATTTGGACCGTGACAATCTGTCAGTGGACACTGGTAGATTGTTGCTGACGCACACACACACACACACACACACGCACACACACATAGACACTTCCCCTCTATGATGAAGACCACAAGCTCCTCAAGCATAAGACAAACACAGCTGGCTCAGATGGGTCACATGGCTGGAATGTATAGGAACAGAAATTGCACTCAAAGCTAGTCTGCCTCTGGCGTTCAACTCATGCTGAACTGAGAAAAAAACAACTACACATCATGCAAACACCTTCATAAGAAAAACAGGCAAAATTAAACCAGTCTGGCCTTGAAGGGAGAAATTATCTCATGGTTACTGTCTTCTGATGTTTCTTTCTCCAGCCACGAAGACACAAAGCTTTATGACTTTAAATTCTCTTGTTTGATGTTGTTTCAAGAGTTAGATAAGAAGATTGTTTTGATGCCACTCTAATGTCTGGTCCTTTAAATATGGAGCAAGGGCCAAGTGATTAGCTTAGCATGTTTATCACTAGAAGTGAACATTGTGACTTGTAATGGCCAATCTCCAACGGAAGCATTTTTAGGAGGATTTTTGATCTGATGGAGTTTCTTTACGCTATTTTTGTCACGTTTAGAGAAGTGTAATCTCAGTCTGTCCGTGAGCTCGCCTGTTTCACTAAAGGCGGATTCCGCTAACTTGCTACAGTAGGTGGGGAATTCAAACCAATAAATCAATGCATAAAAACACTTAATTTCTTCCCATGGAACCAACAGGAAAACAATTTTGGTTCAGTAAATGTCTGCTGTTAGTCCGCCTGGTGAAGGCCGGTTAGCGTGCCGATGTCCACTCAGCTTCTCACGAGCTGCTGCTGACAGACGGGCAGAGACGTTTACGGAAGAAGGAGTCAGCGTGGATTGGATGACAGGACGCTTATGCCATGCCAGCTGTTTCCCCTGCTTCCAGTCTTAATGCTAAGCTCCAGCTTCATAGTAAATGTGCAGACGTGAAAGTGGTATCATTGTTCTCATATAACTGTTGGAAAGAAAGTGAATATGCATATTTTTTGACAATTCCGTTAACAATTTTGTTTTTTAGCATTACTGAAAATGTACCCTATAAAAATGCTCAGTGCAGCTTTTCCAATTGACAGAAGACTCAATATTCATCAATTGTCAACAAGTTCATAAATTACATAACTGCACTGCTGAATGTTCGCTCTGTCTGGTGATGGTGTTGAGAACATACTTTACTGTTCAGACAAAGAGAAAGGAATTTAATAAAACAGATTAGGCAGGGATTAGCAAATTTGGAGACAAATTTGTCTTGTAAACTTGGAGGTGGGACAATACATTTTAACCAATTTTTGACACGTCTGTTTATAAACCTTTTAATTCCAGCAAGGCCATTGTGAGTCCGTTTCTGGCACCGTCTGTGTATTTAAACGTTTTTGGTGAAGTACATGAATTTACAAGGACAGGGTTTTGTTCCTTTTGCTTTAACTTTCCAAATCAAATACATTTAGACCACATTTGTTTTTTACCCATAATTCACAGCACATTTACCTCATCATGTGTGTTTGAATGGCACTCTTGTTTTGCTCTTTTCCACATCACCCCAATGAAACCAACTGCCCCGTGGTTGGGAATACCTTCTGAACGAGGTGTGAAAATGTTCTATGATTTGAGAAGTTGGATGAGGACAGTCTTCCTGATGTGTGCGCCCATTGTCCGCTTTCCATCAAAATGTCAACAAATTCTCCAGTTAACGTTCACTAAGACTTTCCCACCAAACTCGCAGAGCTTTGGGTCGAAACCTGAGAACACAACGTCAACTGTGGATTTTTTACAGCTGCACCTGTACACACACACACACACACACACACACACACACACACACACACACACACACACACACACACACACACACATTTTTCACAGATGACCACAGTGAGAGTAGAGCGGATGCCAAGCGGTGACAGCATCGAGTCTTGTGTGTCTGTATTTGTTATTAGTGTGTGTGTGTGTGTGTGTGTGTGTGTATTACTGTGTAGAAAGTCCCTTTCTGAAAAACATTCATGGTGTATGAAGATCTGCATCTAAGTTACATCAGGCTTCTGTGTGTCCACACCCACACACACACACACACACACAAATCTATCAGTTTGAGAAATGTAGAATTTGATTGCAACAAATCTGTAGTTGACCGTTTTGGTTTTTAAGAATCAGCGCTTCCTTTTTGTAGTTTTTCTCTGTTTCTATTAAACCTTAAACTGCGGTGGTTAGAGTTTCCCTGCAGAAGGACGTACAGTATTTTGAATCCATGCAGATGTGAAAATCAGTTTGAACTAATCTGCTCCTATGTTTCTGGTCTCAACTGCCCTCCTTACCTTCATCACACAGGTTGAGTTTGGACAAGTTGTGTCCATCGTAGGCCTCTTCATACATGGAGCCGCTCTCTCTCTCTTCATATGTGCTCAGATACATGGCCTTGTTCTCCATCTCCTCCTGACTGAAGAGAGAAGATACACTCAGTATGATCCACTGAAATCGTTCTACATTACAAAAAACTGACATCTCTCCTCAACCAACCTGAACCTTTTATAGCTTGCCTTCACAAAAAGGTACAGATGACAAAATAAAAAGTGAAAAGAAATAAGTGGAGAAACTAACAAATGTAGAAAATTTCATTCCGGTTGAAGACAATTCTTTGCAGGAAAACACGTTGTCATTGTATGTTTCTGCAAACCACAGAACTGTTGAATGTGAATGTTTTTGCATTGGGTCAGAGCATGTGAAGTGGTATATTGAGTGACCGTTATTGAAAATGACGTGGTATAATAACGAGTATAACAAGTGACAGGACTTTCACACAGAAGACCGCTGTTCGTGTCCAGTGTAAAACTAAAAGTAAACATTGACGTTGCGCTTTTTAGGTAATGTTATGCTTACAAGGAGTGATTGCTATTCATTTAGGCTTGTTATGTTGTTACAGTTGTTAAGTGACATTATTAATATGTTACGTTAAGTTGTTACGTTACCATTTTAACCCAAACCATGATATTTTTTCTAACCTCAAGCAAGTAGTTTTGTTGCCTAAACCTAATCAATCGTTTCACAGTGTTAACCAAGTGACATTGTGCGTTTCTGCAAGCGTGATGCAAGGCTGATATGAAACGTATTCATGAAACATCTTTTTGGTTCAGAAACGTCGACATTGATCCTAGCCCGTGGTTTGTCAGAAACATGTGATGCCAAAAAATGTTCCGGCAACTGGGTTGGCAAATCAATACATACTCATTAGTTATCACCTTAATCCTGTAATAAAACATGATAGGAATAGTCATATCCGGGCCAAGCTATGGATTTTGGTCGGCAATGTATTGAGGTTTTGGGTTAAGGTTATAAGTGAGGGTCCTTACAGGTGTAGAAGTTCAAATGTGTTTGTTTGTTTCCTATTGGCGTCTATAGTGCTGCGAATCAGGTGAACCAGTTGTGAGAGCTTTGACCGTTTTTTTAGCTTTTCAAGCTACAATATAGACAAACAAACTGACACACACACAGTGCTAAACGAACAGAGGGAAATGCTTGTGGTGTGAGGATTCTGGCTGACTCTAGACCAGCGTTGTATGATTTGTTTCCTCCTTGGTTGGTCTTTCCGTGGACACCGGTTGTTTTTTTTTATGTCTGTTTGCCTTTTAGCAGGATATTTAAAAAGACGAAGCTGTGAATAAATGCGCAAAAACATTGTGGAAAGGTTGGTCACGGGGGCATGAAAGTAATGATTCACATCAACCCTTTGTTACTAGCTCAGTCAAACAATGACAATTTCTGATTCAGACACATTGCAACTGCTCTGCCATTTCTTTGTTGTGTGTTTGAATGTCAGCACAAATGGAATTGGTTACTCAAGAACAATAGAGCTGATAGATAGCTGGCTAACATGGTGCACCCATCCATTCACACATCCAAGTTGCATCAGACTAAGGAAAGTAAGCCCACATGTCCCTCTCCTTAGCCACAACGTCCAGCCCTTACTGGGGGATCCTCGGGTGTTCCCAGGCCAGCTAACTGGCTCCCTTCAACACAAATGAACAGAGGTGCTGCTTCTGGATGTCCAAGCTCCTCATCCTATCCATCAAAGTGAGCATGGACTTCCTGCACCAGCGGTGAAGAATATGGGAAGGATTTTAGAGCAGCGAAATGTAGTAAACATGGAAAAGCCTCCTTCCACAACCTCCACAACTTGTGATTGTGAACTCAACACAGTTGTGTAATTGAGTTGGTCAGGGTTAAAAATACTGTGTATTGACAATATAACACTATATCCATAGGATTTGGGTTAAGTTACCTTGAAGTCTGGACATTTCTGAGGGGGTGAAGCCTGTTTGAATAGCTTTAAAGTGCTATCAGAAGCTAATGTTAACACTTTTTACAAGTTGGAAACTGGCGATTACAGTAATTCCTATATGGCTTTAACGTGCTGCTGATGAATCTTTCTTAAACAGTACAGTATAACGTCCAAATCACTATGGACGCAGCACAAATCCTCCAGCTGACCTCCTACTCCATCAGAACCTCACTTACATCCAAAATTCTAACAAACATATCGCAAGAATATAAACACAAATATCTCATGTCCAATTTCAAGTAGGTTAATGTGTCAATGTCCCGGGGACGTCAGTTTAAAAAGTGTAACCTTTAAATACTTTCCCATGGTGCGCTTACAATTGACTTAAAAACAAAAAAGTACCTCCAGAGCCGTAACTCTCTCAAGTATTTAACCCCATATCAATTAGAAGAGGTGAAAAATGAAGACGGCTTTGACAGTTGTGGCAGAACACGTCCTCCTTTCAAAACCTAAATCTAATGAAAACATCGGGAGAGGAAAGTGTCTCAGAAGACACTTATCACCACAAGAAGTAATTCCATCTTTAACACACAGGTGACAGTTACATCCAGCAGGTGCAGTCATTGATGAGCTACAGTTTCTGGCACACAATCTATGGTGATATAACTCTATTTTTAATTTAAAGCACATTGAATTTCACATTTTTTTTGTCAAAGACTTTAACTGATAATGAATCGCAATCAGTCGCAGCCATACACTGGACTATTTGCTCTGAGCTGAGCACATTTGCTCTTCTGGTTTGGGTAGAGTTTCCCACGCTACACATGATGCAAACCAAATACGGCGGGCATATGAATAAAGTGAGAGGGAACACAGAGCAAATAGATAAAAGGTTGCGTCAGACATAGACATCTCTGGAGGAGTAAAATTAAATCTGCTGCAGTCTGGACTCGCTGGGTGTTAAACTCCCACAAGCCCCGACGGCAGATCTGTGAGTGTTTGACAAAGTCGTTAAAAAGCGCTCAGTCTGGACTTTCTCATTACAGAGGGGATGGAGGGGTCAGGTTGACATTTAGATTGAAGCTGGGCAGGAACCATTAGGGCTGCTAGGAGATCCCACTAAACTCTCCGTACCCCTGCATACGTGTGTGTGTGTGTGTGTGTGTGTGGGTGGGGGTGTGTGAGTTATCTTTTAATTACATTGAGTTTAGTGGGATAAGACAGTTTATCAGACACTCAGTTGGTCTCTGTTAGTCAGTGCCAACAGACGATGGTGGGAAAGCAAAGTCATCTCTATCTGTGCAACTGTGGACAAAATAACAGAAACGACCCATTAAATTCAAGAAAGTTTGTTACACGGCTTATATGCAAACTATGTGTCAGATTGGAAGGGCCACACCACCCAAAACATGTGAACTCTTCCTGCGCATTTCCAGAGCATCCTCCTGGAGCAGCAACACTGGCCATAACTTACAAAACACCACCGCTTACAGTAAATCCAAGCCCGAAACATTCACATGCACAACTTGATGTAAGGAGGGAAAACATTTGACAGTCACGACTGTTTCAATATTTTTCCTCCAGGTTTGCATCTGATTAGACACCAAAGAGCCTTTAATGCTCAATATCAGCTGTTCATCACCGTGTTAAAGAGCTGAGGGAAATCTGGTGATTTCATGTGACTAAAGTGGATATTCACTTTATTCATCCCTCAAATGACTGGAGGCTTTCCTTCTTGGAGCTCCATGCAATCCCAACAAGCTGTTCAAGATACAGCATGACAACTAGCCAAGAAGGAGAAGGAGCAATGCTGCACGAAGAGGCGGTGCGCCCTCGCATCTTATTATCAGTGTGACGCTCAGATATTGTCAGGTGTTAGTATTCATTTGTCCACTTGTGTGTCCTGGAAGAGATCAGCATTTTCACTTTGTTGAGGATAGTTCCGCAGTAAAATTACAACATTAGGTTGTTTCTAATGATGCATCCTGTTTAATTTGCATTTTATTGTAGCATCAAGTCAAGATGAAGAGGAGCTAGGTTTAACATCTTTATATACAGGTAGATAGTTCCCAACCAAGGGGTCAGGCCCCCGGGAAGGGACACCAGATAAATGTGAGAGGTCCTGAGAGTAGTAATCTGAGAGGAAGGGAGAAAAAACAAAGTTCTGATACACACACACACACACACACACACACACACATAACCACACACTTATATATAAATAACTATATATATATCGGAGGCCAGCACGTGTGGCCTCAGGCAGAACAGCTATTGAAAACGTATCTGGACATTATAATGATTTAACAGAGCAAGTAGCTAGAACATAGTTTACTGAATTTAAAAACAATTTTCAAAGTCAGTGCATTTGTGATGCGGTTGTGTTTGCTACAAATGATCATACCACGTTTAATTATGTAATTATTTCCCACTAGCAAGTTGATTTTTATTCTATTAGAAGTAGGGAGCTGAGTTGGAGCACAAACTCCCACTTGTACATATGCAACCTTCCCATATCATTGCTCAGTCATCCATGTGCAACATTAACCCATTTCTCTCGGTTAATTAAAGGCAGAGATACTTCACCCATGACCGCTGAAACACAAAGCAACAACTTTCTGCGGATGAGTTCCATTAAACGTGCATTTCCTGTCCTGTTGTCCTTGCGGCATACCACTCGAATAGATAACATGTAAATCAGCCTTTTAACTGTTGCAATGAATATTTAACAGATGTCAACCAGTTTGCCAACTTAAAAAGTTCAAAGCACAAGAGATCATGTGGTGATTTTAGGTTATAACCTTTGTGCTGAACAAATCTGTCAACTCAACATAAAAGGGCAAGTTCCTGTGTAAGATGTTATTGAGCACATTTTACATAATATCTTAAAAAAAAAAAGGGATGACAGGTGACACACAGTCAGCTGGAGTTTCAAACAGGTGCAGTAACCGCAGGGTTCATGCAAAGGCTAAAAAAGTTTGTCAGATTATGTTAAACCTGCAAGACATTAAACACCAAACGGAGATAAAGTAAATAGCAAACGGGCTTTTATCTCACCTTTTCAGCTGTCAATTGGAAATAAAAAATCACAGCTCCACGTTTCTCATAATTCCCTTGAAGAAGTTGCTTCCTGACGCTGTAACTCCAGGCTTTTTTCTCAGCTGTCAGAGAGTCCTTAGGATGGCATTAAATAAACGGAATGAAACGCACCACTCACTCAGTCTCTGTCAGTGCCGCAGAGCTCTATAGAAGCGAACAAGCGGAGACATTTGGAGTAATATACACACAACATAGTCATGTGACCATCACAAAACTCCAGCTGAAGTTTGCGCTGCGTGCCGAGCAGCTGGTGGAGAGGAGAGAGGTGAGGAAAGGTTGCGCGCCCTGCTGTACGCGCGCTCCCTCTGTTGGCCGTGGATGGTACATATTAATGGACTGGATAGTTTTAAAAGATCTGATAGTGTTTTAAAGCCACTGACTCAGAAACAGAGAAAACAAGCGATAGGATTGAAAAAAGTATATATACTTATACTGTACACTAAATTAGATGATGCCTTCATGAAACCCCCATTAACTCATCCACTAAGTCAAGAAGTTATAAACAAGTCCATATTTCAGACACACACACACACACACACACACACACACACACACACACACACACA